CACGACGCTCTTGCATTAATATACTGTATAAACGATGCTTTGGTCTACAGATAACAGATTTTGGTAGTTGCCCAGACTTTGTTTTGACGATGGGGGGGGCTGCTCGACGGTTTCATTTTGAAGTACCGTATATTACTGAATATAGCCCGTCCGTAGATAAGCCGACAGTATAACTGTGAAACATCAATTTTGTCAAAGCCGCAAAACAGTCGAGTAATCTCTACTCTGTATCGGTGTATTGTCAGAAGTCAATAATAGAGAATGAGTGAGATTTTTAGGTCTCCATTTCGAAGCTGGGCACAGAAATAAATGACTAGATGATAATCGGGAGTAGGGGGGTCACTAACCCTGCAAACAATGTGTCTCGCAGATAAGTGAACAGCCTCATGATGAGGGGAATAATAAATACTGTCTGACCGGGAATAGTCAATAGTCGATGCTTTGTACTAACCTCAAGGCAGCTAAAAAACCACACTGGTGAAGTTGCTAACTAGGGGAAGGAGAAGTACAGCAAGCGATGCGATAGATCGATGGAAACCAACCGAGGCTACAAGTAAAAGCGTTGCACAACTCAAACAATTGAACTCAACATGCAGTTCAACATTCCGCACCGATCAGTTAGGTACACAAGAAGAGTGATTTTAATTAATATTGTACACAGCAGAGTCAGGGATACCGGAGAAATCTCCAGAATGCTACGAATTCCGAAAGCAAGACCACTTGCCACACTGCAATGTGAGCAAAACTATTTGGTCAAAAGCTAGAAGTGGATAATTGCAAAGTAAACCCGCAAAAGATAAGCAATTCAAAGCGGAAAACAAATTTTGTGTTGTTTCGGTTCTGCTTGAGGATCTAGACGGACGGCCGCCTAAGCGTAGCATGAAATGGAACTTAGACCGGACATAAGTTAGAAAACGACCGTAACTGAGAAACTCTCAAGGTATGGAGAAAGAAAACGCATGACCATTGTTAATATACTATCACAAAGGTCATGGAAGAGTAGCAGCTCAAATTATCAATAATATTTAGACAAAGAAGAAAAACTAGACAGAATGCACGCCAACCTGAGTGTAGAATGCGGGACACGAGGCCATGCAGCGGATGATATTGGTCAAAATTGATGGTGAAGGGCTGGGATATTTGTAATACATGTTCACAGGAACTGAGAGTGAAATATCCCATCTAGGAACGATCGGCTCTTGTTCTGGAAGGTGCGGCAAGGGGGACAAATGTGAAATCTCACATTCTGCCTCTGGCTCTATCGTGGCACATTTGAAGAGTCTGGAACCACAGAGGAGAACGATTGATTGCGAAAATTAGACGAAATGGATACACGCACTCACGAATCCGACTGGGGAAAAAATTCCACGGAAATACGTCTGCGCAAGATCACTCGCTGGTGAACACTCTTGATTACTTTCCAAGCATGTTCTGTGGAGGAAAACTCAGCCAGTGCACACTAAAGAGAACAGCCTGCAAAATGACGACTTACATTCCTCAGTGGCCCCTTATTTCCAAAGTAAGAGGAACTCGTAGCACCCAGGTTAGATAAGAATTCTGCACAGTCATTGGCGGTGAGGTCCTCTGGAAGATGTTTAAAAATGAGGGTTTGGTCTTCGGATGTAATCGATGTAGAGCGAGTAAGCATTCTGTACTGGATCCAGATGACGAAAGTGTAGAGAACAGTCGAGGTGATAGTTGGAGCTGCCACGAAACACAACAGATCCAAAAGTGTGAGAAACAATGGAGAACTAAGTAGTGACTCTATATCCGATAAGTAACCACAGAAGCAGCACAAAAAAGCAAGCTCGTCAAACCAAACGGTTAATGGATGCTCAAAAATAACTTCAGATCACCATCAGAACGGACTCGAGATCGAAGTGCAAGAAGTATGTAAACGCTATTGAAGTGGATCGACGGAGTTGCTACGGTGTGACAGGTTACTGACTGCAGGTTATATGGGGTGTTCCGTGTAGCAAAAAACAACTGGTACTTTTCAGGTCAGCCAGAGCTGGAAATATATCATCTGGGGAGAAATAAATCCGCAACTATACGAGGGTAATGAGGGCCATGACGCATGAAAGTGATGAACAGAAATGTGGGCAAACGTAACCTCCCGTGTTCCGGGACAAATCAGGCTGTAGGACGGAAAAGAGCCATCGCCCAACGGATGCACCGCTTCATGCGTCAATGGGTACTTCGACATTTCCCCGATCATCATTGCTTAGGCAAAAGCAATTACCGTAATTCCAATAAGATCACTCGAAATACCAATTCTCGACCGAGAGCTGCACACTACTACATAATACGTGCGACAGCTCAGAGAAATATCGTGGACATAAAGCGTTAAATCCTGACGCGTTAAACATCCCACCTCGTATTGATCAACTTCACGGGAACCAGTTTTCAAGCTGCAAAGCATTCAGCAATACGAAAGTTCAGTTTCAAAAGGCTACCTTGAAAAGCCCCAAAGTTATGCCACCGCAACGTACTGGCGCATCGCTACCATGAAACCGCCGGTGCGTGCATGTCGGCGGGGATACAGTGAGATCACCTGCACCTGCAGAGGTTCGGAACGCCATGGCTTGTGGATTACAAGCCGTGCGTCACTGGTCAAGTATGAATTCAAATAGGACAGAAACAATAGCAGAATTCCTAGAATATTCCGTTGAGAAAGCGCCGACGACCAAGGATGAATTTTGGTTAATAGTAATAATATGCATATTTCTCATGATCCGAGAAACTGCGTTCGTAGCGGTACAGGTCAATCTGTACAAAGGCAACCATACTCTTTCATAATGGATGTGCCTAAGTGAAATATAGGAGCATGCGAGCCGTGTACTATGGTTTTGGTGAATGGTTGAGGCGAAAGACAGGGTTGGGTCATGGGCGTTTAGATGTTTTCGGGCCCGTCTTGGAATAGCTCACCGAGGGGTTTGCTCCATATGAATATGTTGATTACGGTAGTTAGATCAAGGTAAATGGAGAGTCTCCATCTAAATATTGCCAAATTGTTATCTGACCAAGGTGTGATTGGTAGCTAATTCCACAGATAGCTATATCTGACCAGTCTTCGGTATATTCAGTGTAAAAGCTACATTGTGAAGCTCTCAGGTTGAGCTATCTCGTAGTCCGAGTGTAGGTAGATCGGAATAGGTCATTTTGTGCAGCAGGTTGAAAAGCAGCAACAAGTTATGCTTCAGTGTCGAACCCAAAGTGGTTCGGGTTGGAGTTCAAAGCAACGTTCTCGATAACTATTAGCAGAGGTTTGATAATTGACCACTGCAGGTACTCCACAGCAATTCTGTCACTTCTCATATTGCCGTAATATTATGCTGCAATATTCGAGAACAACGCGGGTGTAGCTCAAAAAGCTAAGTGCTAGCATGGGTTGTGTAAAGTTGAAAAGGAACTTTGACGTATCCCTAACCTAGATTGTTTACATGAGGACACGGTATCTCTATTCCCTAATCGTTCTCATTTTACATTGCTTTACTGTGTCCTACAATCAGGTACCAGAGCGTATATTTATTCCTTTCACTCAATCACTGACATATTCTTGACGTTTCAAGGTCAATTATATTAGTATGTTACTGTGACACTGTCCAAATACTCGCACGCCGCCGCACGCTGTACAATTTCTATCCTCTTGCACTACGATTGCAAAACCTATTCGTAAGTCATGTACTGTGTTTAATATGCCTTAAAGAACCATGGTTACAGGATAATTCGTTTTATTCTTCTGCCCAAACCGTGCGTTAAGTCTAGATTTATTTGTTTGTAGTTTCTAGTCTAATTTTCGTACGGCGTACTTAATTTAGGCTACGTATCGTTGATATAGGTTGTGTGAATTTGTTAAATATATTGAACATACATTGTCTGGCAAGTGTTACTTGCCATTGGGACTGTTCGGAGAAAGTACCTAGATCCAAGGTAACGCGTGGACAGCTGTGTCGTGATGCGTTCATTGTTTAGTGTGAGAGATCTTTCGGGGATGGAAAAGCTGTAAGACATGATACCTGGTTTCTAAGCCGAGAGGTTCACCACCAACGTTTGGCACCATGACTTAAGGGAATGTAAGTCATGTGTAGATTCGTCGCAGTTAGACACAGGCAAACAGCCACCAAACATCCAGGAAAGCACTAGACGGCAGTTTCGTCCTATTAGGACTCGTCATCTTGAATGAACAGTAGCGTTCGGTGGAGTTCGTCACGTCAAACGACTTGGATGATCTTGATAACTTCAGCAAATAAAATTGGCCGACCATGTTCTACAGATGTGGTGATGTCATCGAGGTAGATCAGAAGGAGTGAAGGACCGAGCACCCTCCCTTGATTGACCCCACTTGTGATGGGGCATGGAGAAGAGCGATAGTCACCTAAAGTGACTACCTGGGGACGACCACTCAGGTATAACGATAGCCAACCTAGTAATGGGTCCCGGATCCCAAAGGTCTCCCACTTTTTCAGCAATCGCTTGTGAGGTATTCGATCGAATGCTTGGTGTATGTCAAGAAAAAGAATTACTATTGCATAGCCGGAATCGATTGACTAAGATGTGGTTAAGCTAATGCAGGCGGTGCGCGATCGTTTGTCAGGAAAAGTATGCTGCGAACTAATGATAAGGCATAAAGAATCGACAAAGTTCACTATCTCCTTTCTGACCAATTTTTCAAATAGCCAAGCGATTATCGGAGTGTGGTGGATTGGTAGGTAGTTATCAATCGTTTGTTCGGGATCTCCTTTGTACAGAGGCATGATGAATGACGCTTTTCATTGATCTAGAAAGTGACTGGATTTCAGCGATAGAGTAAATATGCTCCTCAAGAGCAGTGGCATAGCAGGACCTTCTAGTTTAATGGTGGTTGGTGGAATTCCATCAGATGCCAGCTTTGAGGATGACCCGATTGCATTGATAACCTGTTGAATACCATCGAGCGAGACACCGAGTTTGCTTAAGAGGTTTGTTACTGCAACCTCTGCGTACGCAAGCACAAGTTGAGCTTCGAGACTCATGAAAGTGGTAATGACTGCTTCACAACTTGCAGCTGGGTCATGAAGTAAATGGCCCTCACTGTTAACAACTCCAGTAATCAAAGGAGTATATTTGCAACAGTCTGAATAGACAGCCGTCAGAAACCATGGAAGACAAAAGACGGTACAGAAACTGTAAAAGAAAACAACACAACACATTAAAGTCCATGGTTACGTCAGAGGGCGAGATACTACCCGGTTGCCCCAGCCGAAGTAGGGTGTTGACTTAGGTGACACCATCCCGAACCTTTGGCTGAATAGCCTGCCCGCAAGGCAGTGGAGCGAATTTAGGGAATCGCGACAGGTCCACGTCGTGGAAGACCGAAAAATCAGTTAAAGAAAACATCGTCTGGAGCCTCGTGATATTTTCCAAGGAGCAATTTCGCCGTTTGCTGACCTTGTAAGGCCGTCTGGTAAGCGTTAAAAAATTAGACCTGCTGTATATGACTGGACACAGTTTTAAAATACACTGGTCTGAGCTGCTCAAATGTGTCGGCTTTTGTATGGCAAACAACCGTCGTTTATTTGCGAACATAGCGTCCAACTGGGCATCTTGTCTGGTCTAAACAGTCACTAGGTCTACCATGCCAAGTGTCTTCAAGAATGTTGTATCCTTTCTATTGAAGTCGCTAGCAAAAATACAGACAGAACAATCTAACTTAAGCAGCAGCGTTGAAGGAAGTTAGTATTCAAAAAGCTTTAACTTCGATGGAGATGTGTCAGGAGCAATGTTTACGTTTCCCACAATGACTGATCGAAAGCCACTTAAGAACTTGGGTTTGCATTCAAGTAAATGGCAGCTCATAGAAATGAGTACGTAAATATTATAATTGCTGCATTGCGCCAACGTTGATTAACGTAAGTTATAACGCCACTATCACGAAACTTGGGCTTCCCGGAGCGGTCAGACCTGATGGGAAAAGAACCATCGAGTTAAATTACCCCATTTTCCACATCAGCATGCAACCAGCTTTCTGGTAACAGAATGATTCCTGTATTAACATATTCATTTCGCTGCATAATGGCACTGAGATCACTGATTTTACAAAGGAGCAAGCGAACATTACTGGAGAGTATCAGTGGGACTTGCGCTTTGTCGACAGAACAACGACTGAGGTCAGATTGCCAGCCAGCACGATGCATGCGCTTTTTCCAAGACATTTATTCGTAATACGTTTGCACAATAGCGGAGGTGTTTTTCCCACCTCTAGCTGATGTGTATAATGATGAATACGTTTGCAAGTGTTCCTGACTTTATGGTCGTATTCGATAAGGCACGGATTTAAGGCAGTAACACGTAACGTTTTTAACTGGTTGACGGAGTAGGACAACAATGACCTTGAGATCTGATCAGACAAAACAAATTACTTCAAAGTTTAAAATAAAATAAACAATCCGCAGTCCGTGGTGTAAAATAATCCAATGGGAACAGCAACGGCCGCCTTGTTAACATATCTGTAAAAGAGCTTGGTACTACAGCAGAACATCTTAGCCAAATCCTGTTGGTGGTTCGATTTGTCTTCGCCGACAATGTGACACGGTAGTTTCGCTCGGTTACGTAGGCATACCAGTTTCCGGCGTATGGATCAAAATTGTATGTTTTACAGAACGATCA